TTGGGATAGGAACCACCGTTCGTGTATCCCTAGAAAATGGTGGTAAACACGGACTCACCTGCCAAATTGGTTTGGATTGAGATTTTTATCGGGTATCAGGGAACTATGTGATTATAAATTAGACTTGATCAAAATGGGTCAAAACTTGAAATTCAGCTTGTTTAACCAAACCATGTCAAACTCTAATTATTCTTTACTTTTAAACTTTCTATTTGAAAATAAAAAATAATGAAAGAAAAGAGATGACTGCAATTCGCCATAATATATATTTGAAATGATAAAAATTGGACTAATTGGGTTGGTCGAGGTTGAACCATTGAATAACTTTAAAATACATTATATTTTACCCACTAAGATATAAAATAATAGCATAATATATATTATGCTAGAGAAAATAGCTTGTTTTAGAATGACAAACCCATGATGTGCATTTGTTTTACTTGATGGGCAAATCCCGTGTAGGTTAGGCCCATTCAACTCTTTTATTTTATGATTAGCGGTTAGCCCATCAGAATCCATGTATTAGTTTATTGTTAAATTTTTTCTTTTTAGCAATAAAAAAGAGTATTGTTTTTTGCCTTTTCATATATATATTTTACCACCACGGAGAAATAAAAGGACTTAAAGAAAAAAATTGACACTCCTGGACCCGTTTAAATCCGCATGTGTACGGTAAGTTGGCCCGTTCCACAGGAAAAAGAAAAAAAATTGACACTCCCTATTATACCCTTCCTACAAACACTCCTGGAGCAAGGAATTTGAAATGGGGGAAGGGGTTTTTCCTCTCTGCGATTATATGTTTTTAATTTAAAAAGATACAACAAATGTACTTAGTGTGATTGGTTATGATCTTTGCTTTTCTTTAAAGTTGTCATGGTACGAATCCTAGTAAGTGTCTTTTTAATGAATAAAAAAAAGTAATTGTGAAGACCAAAATATCCTTCCTACTTTCACTCTGGATGCAGGAAATTTGAAATGGGGCTTCAAGTTTTCTCATTTGGCTTTTATTTATTGTGTAGATGTAGATTGATTGTTTTGGGAAGATCTGTATTAATGTATGTCATCTGTAGAGACGTTGATCCTATTTCTACTAGGTAAATCAGTTTAAAGGTCATTAATGATATGTTAGGACACATCGAGTCATGCTCAGGCGCTCTAAGCCTTCGCATCCTAATAAACTACTCTATAAACAGACCAACCTCTCCAATAAGCTTGTAACCTTTCAATCTCCAACACAAGCACCAATTTCCAACTCGAATTCACCCCAAGATGGCCCTCCAAGCTCCTAACTCCCCCACGGCAGCCGGGGCACCTTCCTTCTAGTTCAAAGATCGCCTCCTCGAGCCTTGGACCAAGCACAAGAGGTTTAAGCGATCCGGCCAGCATCCCACTGAAGTCGAGTGTCTCGGAGCTTGTTGCCTCGTCATGCTTACTTGCAACACCACAATGAGGACTCCTCTTCACCTGCGCTGCTACCGAAGGCCACTACAAAAAAGAAGTTGCGAAAGGCGGAAGCACGTCTGCGCCTTCTGCGAGAAGAGCTTTCCGAACGCTCCTGTCCACAGCGGCCACATGCGGCGGCACTACAACCGCAAGAAGAGCGTAGGTGAGTCTATGGAACTTTGTATGTCCTCTAAAGTGCTTACAAAAGGTTTGTGATCGCTTACAATGTTCGAGCATCAGCCCAACGAGTTAGACTGGCGTGTGGCCTTGCTATTCGTTAGATTCTTTCTCTCAAGTGAGGATAATTGTCTCATTGGTAATTTGGTATTGTCATTATGCGAGCCCTTTCCAGAATTAGGTGCCCATTGGGCCTTATTTGACTGATTGGGGTCGGGAGTGAGTAGTTGCACTTTTTGCGCAACTTGATTTATTGGACTACCGGTGGAGCCATGCTTTAGCTTATCGGGCATAACACTAAGTATACTTATTATTTGTGGACTGTGGTATTACTGGTAATTGGTTGAAATTTAGTATTTCATAGGGTAGCCAAAATCGAGTAATGAGGGTATTTATTGAGTGTCTTTTTAAATTGATGTTAGGAACGAGTAGATACTTATTTATCTTAATGTGTATGGTTATGTAATTAAAACCTTTTCTTTCTATTTAAATTATTTACACATTCTCTAGCATTAATTAATCCTAAAGCAACACAATTGGAGGGACAAGAGTTGGCGTACCTACTTTAGAGAACAAAAATACGAAGTTGGAAAATTTCGAAAAACATTCGCGAATTAATAGATGCAACCGAAAGACAACGAGCGGTTTTTTACCAAATATAGGCCTACATATGGTGGATGAGAGTAAGAACGAAAAATAATTAACGACAATACAAGCTCTTTGTAGGATTCAGCTTATCAGACTAATTATTTGTCAATCACTAGTGATCGACTAGGACTCTATAGAGTTCAACCTCTTTGCATGTGTTGTGAACTTAGCAGGATTAAGAGTTCAGGACTAGATCGTAAGAGGTAGAATTGATGAGATTATTGAGGTAATCACTAATCTAGAGATTGTTTGGACTGATACAATAATTTTTTTATTAGAATTCTGTAGACGATAAGATTTTGGTGGAAGGGAACAAAGGATTGATGGTAGACGGAGATAAAAAAAATTGGAAGATGATGAGAAACAATAAGACCCTGGAATGGAATACTAGGATGCCATTTGGAAAAACTTAGGTGTTCAGGCGGGAGGGGCATAAGTGTTTTTTCCTTTTTTAAATAAAATTTAAAATGCACAGTAACTTTAGACAATTTTATCATTTTATGTATAAGATAGGTAACAAATTTTTAGAATGGGCTATTGAAATTTATTATTTTATTCTTGATATGGATTTATATATTGCATTAAAAATTAGAGAGAAATTATAGATGTTGTAGTATTTTATCTAAAATTTAGTAGTATATTTATTAATTTTTTAAACACAAATTTCAAATATTTATTAATATTTTAAATGTACAATACTTGGAAAGTAGACACTGTTCTGCTCTTGCTCCCTCTCCTCGTCCTATTCCATGCATTGGTAATTTAAAGTAATTCGATCAACATACAAGCGAAAAACTAGTATATATAATAGAGTCAGCACTTATAAATAAACTCAACGGGGCGTGATACGTGACATAACTAATTGCCACAAACCCACGCTCCCAAACTTAGAAGAGGATACAATAACCACAAATAATGATATATCTTGAGAATAATTGTCTCACAACAATTATTATTAAAGTCAATTGACAAGTAGTGCCACCAAACAGATTCGCATGCCTCGACACTAAAAAATCTGTTGAGAAATATTCAACTAGTTAAGGACGATAATCTTTAAGGATGGCAAAAATATCCGTAACCGTGGATATCCACTCGAATCTGACCTAATCGGGTAGGGTAAAATTCGAACCCGAAAGACTTTTAGTGGGTACGGGGAAACCCAAACCCGAATATTGTGGGTAATGGGTTGGCATGGGTTTTTCACTATCCAACCTGAACCCGCTCGATTATACACATTCATATGTATTTTGTCTAGAAATAATCATTATTTTTCTCCAACATATTTAATATTTAGCATATAAATATAGTATATTCTTGAATTATTGTTGTAATTTTCTTCATTCTAGTGAATTATTGTTGTATTTTTCCTCTTACATAATATGAGAATATGCGGGATTGTTAACATATTGGTTGGAGTTATGAAAAAAAAATTATTACCCATGGATACCCGTGGATACCCAAAACCCAAACGGGTATGGGCATGATATTTTCCACCCCCAAATTTGATGATCCTTTTGGAGATCTCCCCCAAATATAGAGACTCCTCCATTTATAGAGGCTCCATTGAAGCCAACTTTCCCCAAATATAGAGGCTCCCCCATTTATAGAGGGTACATTGGAGTTAGCCTAATATTTAGTTATTTCAATTTCCCCCCAAAACTGTAAAGGTTGAGAAGAATATAAAAAGTCCCCCACCAATAAAAAAAAATATATTTAGTGGTGTACCTAATGAGAATATATATGATACATACAGTTGAAAGTGGAAAGGGAGGGGAGAGGGTGTGCAAGCATGACTTGTGGTTGCAGATGCAGATCCCCATCAATCATGCTGCTCTTTATTGATAAAAATATGCTAAGGCCAGGCCACCTATATACCTCAGAAATGAGAAATACAAAAAGAAAATATAACTAAAGATATGCATAGTAGTTAGTTAGTAATAGTATACAAGATAAATATGGAAGAGGTCAATCAAGAAGGGCAGGGAATCCATACTATGTCCTACCGGAAGTTTTTTCGTCATTTGCTTGCTGGATTTAGAAAATGAGTGATTAAAATTTGGATTTTGAATTTTTTTAATTTATAATGGATTTGGTTAATTATGAATTTGAAACAAATTGTTGTTTGCTTGTTGAATTTGATGAATTAAATTTGTAGTATGAAACACAATTTACCTAGTTACCCTTATTTCTCTATTTTTATTTGTTTTTATATAAACCAATCTCGAATGACAAATTGAACATGATTCTTAATCAAGGTAGAATCACTTTAATCTTATCCCAACTTGGTAAGAAAAATGATAGAGTGAATTAAGTATTATTTAATGAAACTAAAGATTTGAAACATCATGTTACGATTTTACAAATACACAAGCCCTTAGATTTCAACTATCTCTAATAATTTTTTAGTTTACTTTAATCAGAAAAGTTGTAAGAAGTAAGAACACAAATTTACTATGGTGAAAGACAAAAAAGAAAAAAAAAGCCTATCTAAAAACTGGTGCGCCCATCCCAATCGAGGAAAAGCCCAAAAGGAAAGAAACGCGGAAGCCCAAATACACAGAGCCCGCGAAGTACGGAAAAAAATAAAATGGCTTCGCCTGGTTTCGAACCGGATACCTTCAGTGTGTTAGACTGACGTGATAACCAACTACACCACGAAACCGCTTGATGCATAATTGAGATTTAACGTTTTAATTAAAACCAAACGAAACGAATTTTCGGTATTCTACAATCTTGGCGGCCGAACAACGCGAACTCTCTCCCGCCGCGTTACGACTTACGACTCTCGAATTTCAGTTCTTCTCCCCCTAAAGTCCCAAAACCCTCCCTTCTTTTCCGGAGTCCGTTTCAAACTCCTACCAAAAGAAAATCAGAACTTTCCTTTTCTCCTCCGCAGACGTTTCTTCTTCCTTTGATTTCAATCTCCTCTTCGCTCCTCTCTCTCTCAGCAACTCCAGAGTAGTAACAATGGCTACCACATCAAGATGGATTCGACCCGAGGTATTACTATTCGCTCTCTCTTCAATTCCACAGACTTGTTTTTCCCTTCCGATTTTGATATGTATGGCTGCTAAGAAAACTGATTTCTGAAAACAACGGAGGGTGTTTCGTTTCTTCTTTTAGGTTTTCCCTCTGTTTGCTACCATCGGCGTGGCGGTAGGGATCTGCGGGATGCAGCTCGTCAGGAACATAACCGGAAATCCTGAAGTCAGGTTTGTATGATCTAGATAAACCCTGTAACAAAGTTCCAGGATTTCTTCCTCTCGCGGTTGCGTGTGTGTTTTTGTGTGATTGGAATCGCCATTCATCTTTCGATTAGGGTGACGAAGGAGAACAGGGCGGCTGGGATTCTCGACAACCAAGAAGAAGGCGAGAAGTACAAAGAACATGCGTTGAGGAAGTTCGTTCGCACTAAGCGCCCAGAAGTCATGCCGGGCATCAATGGCTTCTTCTCTGATCCTCGCTGAAAACCTCCCCAAACCAGTTAGGGTTTCTTTTTTTTTTTTCAGTGCACATTGATGATTCAGTAGTGGTTGGATGAATAAGGTATTGTTCCGATTGTTTTGCAGCTTTGATTGATGCTGCAATGAAACTGTTACAGAATTGATTGGGGGGAGATTTGACCCTCTGAAATTAGATTACATTTTTACATGCTCTTCTGAATCTGCTTACGACTTTGCAATAGTCTCTAGCTTAGCTAACAACGAGCAGAGTTTGTTCGCCTATGCTGGGGTTATGCTCGAACATTGGCTTGGTGTCGTATCGATATTCGATACGATTAAATCAACGGGATCTGTTGCATGTTTAGTGTTCTCCTAGCTGGGTTCTCCTGCATGCTCTTCTACAATCTTTATGCAGGCATTACTCTTTTGATTTAGGGTCTGCCCTGCTAATCGTTACACGACTGTACTTTACGACGACATTGTCACAGAAGCAGAATGAGCACTCTGTCTTTGAGTTGAGCTGTAATGGTTGTACAGAAGCAGAATGAGAGCTTTCGTGTTTAATGGCTTTACTTGCTTGAATGACATTGTTCACTGCTGCTTTGTTGTGTCAATGGGAAGCTGTGGGATGATTCAGGACACTGTAATTCTCTCCTTAGTATTCAGAAGGAAATCCGAAATCCCTCCACATTTTCTAGGGGATGCAACTTAAAGTTCTTCCACGTTATATTCCACACGGTTGATTTAATGTAGTGCACTTGTTAATTCCGTTATTGATGATCATGTTGGACGGTCAATACCTTTAACTAACGGTTAACAAAGTGGTATATTATTGCCCCATGAGGCCAAATTAGCATAGTAGTGTATAGTTCGGATCAATTTATGGTATTACCCAAAAAAATAAAATAATAGATCCCTATGTGTACTTACCTCATGTGGCCAAAGTAGCATAGTAGTGTATATAGTTCGAATCAATTTATGGTATTACCCGAAAAAAAAAAAAAAGATCTCTATCTGTACTTAGGCAAAATACAGCTGTATATCCACAACTATTAGGTTTGTGACAAATATATCCACAACTATCGAAATATACGAAATATCCATTTCCGTCCACTCCGTTAACTCCGTCAGTTAACTTGATGACTGGACAGATGGTGGATGCTTAGTCAGCGTGTTTCTGACCCCACTAAATGACATGGATTAAAAGAGAAAAAAAATTAGGCAAAATACGGTTGTATATCCTCAACTATCAGGTTTGTGACAAATATATCTACATCTATCGAAATACACGAAATATCTAAAAATCGGAAGGTTGTGTGACAAATCTATCCACTTTCGTCTGAAACTATAACGGCGTGTCATACGACGTTAAATTGACTAACGGAATGCTGAATCGATGCCATCTCACCTGCCACATAATCCAAAAAGCAACCAAACTTTACACCGTTCTTTGTTAGACCTCGCTGCTGCAGTCTTCTCTGTTGGCGATTTGGATAGATTCAAACTTTTTTGTTTGAGATTCAAGCTTGGTACCACCATGGCACCGACTGCATGGAAGCAATCGGAGTAAAGGGAGGCAATGGTTGGGGATTGTGGTTGGAATAGAAATCTGGGCTTGGGGTAGGGTTATTTGGGGGTGGAGGCATCGATCGAAGGAGGATCAGTGGTTATCGGGCGTGTTTCTGGGTTGGAATTTTAGTCTCGCGTCTGTGGTTTTTAGGGTTTTTAAATTTCTCTTTTAATCCACGTCATTCAGTGGGGTCAGAAACACGCCAACTAAGCATCCACCGTATGTCCAGTTATCAAGTTAATTGACGGAGTTAACGGAGTGGACGAATGAACATATATCGATTGGGGAACAACATACACAAAAGTAAAATATATCCACAACTATCGAAATACACGAACCTGATAGTGGTGGATATATTTGTCACAAACCTGATAGTTGTGGATATACAGCTGTATTTGGCCTTTATTCAACTAGCCTATTTGGTATCTTCGTTTAAAGTTTGGTTGCTTTTTGACTTATGTGGCAGGTGAGATGGCATCGATTCAGCATTCCGTTGGTCAATTTAACGCCGTTATAGTTTCAGACGGAAGTGGATAGATTTGTCACACAACCTTCCGATTTTTGGATATTTCGTATATTTCGACAATTGTGAATATATTTGTCACAAACCTGATAATTGTGTATATACAGTTGTATTTTGCCCTGTACTTGAAATGGTGTAATAGTATTTTCCTAGTGTACTAAAACTCACTTTAGTTATTCGATTGATAAAAAGTTAATTTCTTATACTATAAACGAAATCCCCAATTGGATTATACTATGATTGGGATCTCTTTTCTTACTTACACTATTCCATTTTGCTCCGCAACCATAAAGGTGTAACTTTCAACACTGAACTCTCCCTTTTTTAGTCCACTAGTCTTTACGTGATTTTAACTATATTATATCTTGAAAAGAGGGCAAGCCTAGTTTTGAAAATTTTACAAGCATGACTTAGGATCTGCGAATTTGTGGCCCCTTAGTAGAATTATTATCAATGGCACGCTGTGCAAGTGCAAGCTTTGATATGTAGAAACCTAAATGTTAAGTTAGCAACATCAAAGGTGGCACTTTGGATCAAGTTTGTCAACCTACCGGTCGCCACGGTTGACTAGCTTTGACCCTGATCCGGTTAAAAAATGGGCCACACACCCACAGGTCGATTGCTGCAAGGTTATCGTGTTGGAGGTCACACAACATCGTTCTTCCTTTTGGTTTGCGAAATACGCCTTTTATTGGATTTTCTCTTCCCTAACCCTATCTTAGAAATTCTACTTTCAACATTTGAATATTGTTGTTATATAAGTGTGTGAATTTTCAATATATGTTGGATTCAAATACGACCCGTTATTTACTTATTATTATTCTGTAATGTTATATGTTATTACTTATATTAGATGAGATTTGATATAATTTACAAATGTATGAAAAATATAATAACATTTTTCAAATATCCGAATTGAATCGAACTAAAACTGTCGAATCAATAACGTTAAACCCACTAATTCGACCGGACCAACAAGCTAAACTAAGTTAACCTTGCTCTGGATTCACAAACAAAATCGAAAAGCTGCCCAGTGTCTTTCCTAACCTCCTCTTTGGTTACCATTGTACATCCACTTCCTACCGTGGATGGCTGTTCAGTTGTTTGTTTAATTCTTTGTTAGAATGATTTTTTCCATTTATGTGACCTTTGTTTATTGGTTTGTGCAATCAGTTGCCATACGAAATTGATGATCTAAAAAAGGGAATTGGTATCTACAACAACAGCAAATACTATCGGTAACTTCTTATATAAAAGCCTTAGTTCTAAGTTAGTATTCATTAAGAAGTTTTTTTATTTTATTTTACAATAATCTTAGTGGCAATTCAGTAAGGCACATATTTGTTTGTTTCTTATATAAAAGTCTTAGTTCTAAGTTTGCTATTTATTAAAAGGATTTTTGGTATTTTACAATAACCTTAGTGGCAATTCAGAAAGGACACATATTTGCTTGATTTCATTTCTCATTTTTTTTTCATTGGGAAGTGGACACATCATACATATTTGTCTCTGTCTCATTTCTCCTTTACAATTAAAATTGGCATTTTGTTCGTATTTGATTTTTGCCGCCTTATGTATTTTTTCGATCAAGTTCGAATATTAAGATGACTAAAAATTTTCTTATTTTTCATGAAAAGAACATGCGTGTCATCTAAACCAATGACACAAGATGATGCATTCTTCTTTCATTATCCTCTCATTTTGTTAAATTTTTATGAATTTTTTATATAATTTTTTTTGTGACGAAAATAACTTCATTGTTCGTATATGGTTTTGCCCCTTTATGTATTTCTTTAGCGATTTGCTAGATCTGAAAACGCCCGCAAGGTGGGAGATCGGAGTCAGGATAGCAATACTCATCAAAGAACAATAAAGTCTCAACAATTCAAATCAAGTTACACAACAAAAAATGATTTCAATTTTACTTTTGTGTATGTTGTTCCCCAATCGATATATGTTCATTGGCCAACGAGTATTTTTATTGTTTGCTTCAATTTATTCCAAAAATGTGTTTTCTCAATTTTTATTCAGCTGCTTAGATGTTCATATTTGTTGTTCCCCAATCGATACCTGTTCATTGGCCAGCAAGTTCATTTTTATTGTTTGCTTCAATTTATTCCAAAAATGTGTTTTCTCAATTCTTATTTAGCTGCTTAGATGTTCCTATTCGTGGAATCTCTTACCATGATTGATTTTATCACCTATTAATTTTTCATCAAATGAGAGTTAAGACTGGTGTGTTTTGAATTTGTGTTCCTTACGTATTAGTTATTACTTCTTACAATCACATGTAATTTTTTACATCGCTCGCTTGACGCGAAACGTAATGGGCGGGCTTCTCTAGTACACCCAAAAATTACAATAATTTCATTATGCATAATTTTTATTTTCACACCCGATGCAAGGTTGACATGTAGTCCAAGGGAAGATGAGAACTTGTTGTCGTAGCAATTGGGGCATGCGATAACTCGCACTAGTCTCTCCTCTCGTCGGATGAGTTGGTAGGGCCTTTCGCCTTCGTGCGACGATGCCGGTAACGGCCGCCTCTTTCGTTTTCCGCCGGTCCTGGCACTCTAGGCATGCAATTGGGATAAATCCCCTCCCGGAAATCATCTGCTACTCATCTGTTCTTCGTGGCAGTGTTCAATCTTGCTCCTCCTTTCCAGTTATCGATTTGTCGATCTTCGTCTCGTCCTGATGGCAGCTGTTCAGTTCAACAATGCCGACGTTGCTGTAGGTGCACAGTGTCTTGACCAAACCCTGATCGGACGACTCTGCAGTCCTCTTCCCTTGCTGCCGACTCTTCGCTCTATTGTTGGCAGGGTCTGGAAGTGTGACTTTTCGGTTGCGGTGGTGGAATGGGATCTCCTTCAGTTTGTCTCCTGACTCAGCCACCGCCGATCGAATTCTCAAAATCTCCACCTGGGTGTTTGAGAAGTTCATCATTCATGTGCGGAACTGGATTACTCCCACGACGGAATTAGCGGCGGATCTAGTCAGAGTGCCTCTTGTGGCTCAATTTTGGGGGGTTCCATATTCCCGCTGCACTGAGAAATTAGGCTCCTTGCTTGGAGCAGCCATGGGTCCTGCAGGTCCAACAACGATTCATCGATCTGCTTCCTCCGGTGGCCTCTACACCCGGGCAAAGGTGACGATTGATCTGCTGCTTCCTCTCCCGGACGAAATCTCCGCAACTCATGTGGATCCATCCAAAGGGAGCTTCAAAGCGCAGGTGAAATTCGAGTCTATTCCCCAGTTCTGTTCCTTTGTGGCGTGATTGGCCATGTGAGCAGATTGTGCCCGAAGAAGGATGAATTGTCAGGGGTTCCTCCTCGCTATGGCAAACATATGGTAGCCAAGGAGTTTGGTCCCCGAGTCAATGATGCTACCTTGGCCCGCCGCCGTAAACGTTTCGTATGGACTCTGGCTGGGATTATCCCTGCTGCTCGGTCGCCGAACACCTCTCGCTACCCAGCAGCGGTACCTCTAGTGACTAGTGTTTCTGGTCAGGACGCTGTACCTTCCCTGCGGATGGCCGATCACCTTCAACAACTGCAGATTGTTGATGTTGCTGAGGGGGGGGAAGTCTACTAGGGCTTTCCCTCTGTCCCAGGCTTGTGACTTGGAAATGGTGGACGTCGCTGAACCTATTGCCAAGAGGGCTCGTATTGTCAATCAAGAGGTTATTTCGACTTCTATGGACTTCAACAGGGTGGAGGCAGCCGGCCCAAACCGGTCCCTAGTTGATAAATGAGCATTCTTGCTTGGAATTGTCGGGGTTTGGGGGCTCTCCTGACAATTCCTGTGCTCCGGGAGGCTCTTGCCCGGGACTCGCCTTTTCTAGTTTGCTTGAGTGAGACTCAACGTGATGATGACTTTGTTGTTCAGCAATTGGGTAATCTTGGTTTTCATGAGGAACGTGTTCATAGTGTGTCGAATAATGGTAGCGGCCTTGCTGTTGCCTGGTCCTCATGTCTAGTGTGTTCTGTTTCGGTTGAGTCATCTAGTTTCTTGTTTTTAGAGTGTGGGCACCAGTCTTTGGGCCGGTTTGCTTTTATCTTTGTACATTTACATTGTGATATTGGCCCTCGTTAATTCCAGCTTAATGAAATTTCTTTTCTTGTTTCGTCGTATGATGATCCTGTTTTTGTGATGGGTGATTTTAATTGCTTACTATCTAGTAGTGAGAAACAGGGTGACAGATCTCCTACCCCGGCGGCTTTAGAACAACTCAATTTGTTCTTAGCAACAGGGGGTCTTCAAGACTTAGGCTTTTTAGTGCAGGTACATCATCTCACGGACAGGGGTTCAGATCATAGGATGCTTCTAACTCGATTTGTGAAGCATGCAGTTCGGCGAGCTCGCCACTTCCATTATGATAACCGGTGGGATTTCAACTCTGATGTCCCGCATATTATTCATTATATATGGAATAAACCTATTGCAGGAACTCCTCTCTTCAGAGTTCAATCGAAATTCAAACAGGTACGCCATGGGCTGCTTGATTGGGCAAAGGCAGGTACTTCGAACTCTGCCCGACTAATCCGGGAAAATCGAGAAGCTATTGATTCAGCAAGGGATGAGGCTGTTGTTGATTGGGCACTGATTGGAAGTCTGGAGGCGCGGTTAACAGAGGCATACTGGCAGGAAGAACTTTATTGGAAGCAAAAGTCCCGGGTTAATTGGCTACAGGGTGGTGATGCTAATACCCGCTTTTTCCACTTATCTACTATGCAACGGCGGAGATCGAATACCATCCCTCTTCTCTGGGATGAGCACGGTGTGTTTCATTCTGACGAACAAAAGAAAGGGGAAGTATATGTCTCTTACTTCCAGAATATTTTCACTTCTAATGGTCGTGACTCTTTGGAATTTGTTAGTAACCTGAATATCCCGACTCTGATAACTTTGGACATGAATGAGTTGCTCACTGCACAGGTTACTAGAGCAGAAATCAAGCAGGCTTTCTTCAGCATTGGGAAGTTTCAAGCTCCGAGATCCGATGGCTTCACAGCTAGCTTCTTTCAGCGATTTCGGGGCGAGTTTGGAGCGGATGTGTCCGAAGCGATCCTTTATTTCTTTTCTACAGGTCGTCTCCTACATAGTATCAATCATACGTGGCTGGTGCTTATTCCCAAAGTATCGAATGCCGACTCTATGAAACAATTGCGACCGATTGGTCTCTGCCAGGTTATGTATAAAGCTATTTCCAAGATCCTCCCAAATAGGCTGAGTGTCGTTCTCCCTCATATTATTAGTCCTTTTCAAAATCGTTTTATTAAGGGTCGTTGCATCACTGACAATATTATTATTGGTCAAGAAGTGATGCAGTTTCTTAAAACCAAAGTTCGTGGACAAGATAAATGGATGGCTCTAAAACTCGGTATGGAAAAGGCGTACGATCGTGTGGAATGGGAGTTCTTGTTTCATATAATGGAGGTGATGGGGTTCTGTGCTCAGTGGATGAAATGGATTAAGGCTTGCATCACGCGTTCGTTTCTCGGTGCTCCTCAATGGCAATGACTATGGTTACTTTCAACCTCAATGGATTATCCGTCAAGGTGATCCCTTGTCACCTCTTCTTTTTGCCATCTACTCAGAAGCTTTTGCAGTAATGATTAGTCAAGTTGTTGCTGCCTCTACGCTCCATGCTTTAAAAGTGCACATGTCTGCTCCTCTCTCTCACCTTTTTTATGCGGATGATAATCCTACCTTTTCCTTCGCGCCTCTGTTCCTGAATGTGCTAACCTCCTGCAACTTTTAGCGGATTATGAGATGTTTAGTGGGCAGCGGGTTAATCTACATAAGTCTGTTGTGTGTGGGAGTGCGAATGTTTTTGAACATGAGTTACTTTCCTTAGTGCGTTTCTAAGAGTTGCGATAATGTCTCCTGATGACAGGTACTTGGGACTCCCATCCCAGCTCCGTCGGTCTAAGTCCTTGACCTTTCAATTTATTGAAGAAGATTTGGCTGCGCGGATACGGAGTTGGAAGTCCAAGGCATTGTCTTTAGTGGCAAAGGAAATGGTTATCAAGGCGATTGGGATTGCAGAGCCTATCTATGCTATGTTGGCTTTCAGACTTCCACAATAAACTTGTGACGATGTAACAGCCAACTCTATAAGTTTTGGTGGGCGAGCCAAGATAAGGAGAATGACATTCATTGGATCTCTTGGCATGCAATCTGTCAGAGTAAGTTTGTGGGAGGACTTGGGATTTTAATCGTTTTAATGTTGCTTTGCTAGCTAAGCAGGCGTGGCGCATACTCTGCAATCCCTCAAGTACTCTAGCACGGATATATCAAGCAAGATATCATCCTCACCGGCTTTTTCTAGAGGCGTCGGCAGGCTCTCGTCCTTCGTGGGCATGGCAAGGCATCCTTGCAGGGAGAGATCTTCTACTTCGGGGTCTAAGATGACAAGTGGGAAACGGGTCTCGGATTCGTACTATAGAGGATAAGTGGCTCCCTTCTCCTCCTCCTTCTACTCGCGTTTTACGACAAGGTGTGAGTATTTGTCCTCCTTTTGTCTCGGATCTCATATGTACTGTGTATCATTTTTGGAAGAAGGATCTCTTACTTTCCCTGTTTAATCAAGAGAGTGTTGATCTCCTCTTGTCCATCCCTCTCCCTATTTCGGCTTTGACTGATCGTTTGATATGGCATTATTCTTCCTCCGGTCTTTACACTGTTAAGACAGGTTATCATCTTTTGACTTCTGAATACAACCTTCGACAGCCTCAGGAGGTGCTCCCTTTTGACACTCGTTTTTGGAAGTTTCTTTGGAGCATTCCAGTGCCTCCAAAGCTAAAGTTCTTTTTATGGCGAGCTGTCCGCGGATTCCTGCCCTTGTAGATAGTGTTGTTTACTAAAACTCTTGTGTCTGACACGATCTGTCCCATATGTTCTGGTGAACCAGAATCCTTTTCCCATTTTCTCTTTAACTGCAGGATAGCTCGAGGACTGTGGAGGTTGGCGGACCTTGAAGGCTTAAACATTACTCTTGGTGGAATGATCCCCGATGAGGCCTGGCAACATCTTTTCTTTTCTATGAATCTTTCAAAAACTGAGATAGCTAATATTGTTTTCATTCTCTGGAGGATTTGGAAGGGGAGATGTTGGGCGGTTCATGAGGGCATTCAATATCTTCCATTGGCTTTGTTTCGGCAGTATCAACGACAAGTGGACGAGTGGAGGGCAGTTGGACAAAATCCTTCGATTCAGCCTCCTGTTGGTAATGTTTCTGCCGCTACTACCCCTTTACATGTTAACAGAGGAATTCCTACGATTTCAGGATCCGCGGCCGTTATCAACGTTTGGTTTGATAGTGCTTTCAAGCGTGGTCAAGGAGGTAGTATTGGTTTTGTCAGCTTTAATGCAACATGTAATGTTCTGTTTGCCTTTGGAAAATTTTATGATGGGATCCAGGATCCATTTATCATGGAATGTTTAGCTCTACGTGATGCCTTACAATGGTGTCTAACTCATTCCTTTCTTGCTTTTCATTTTCATGGGGACTCTCAACTCTTGATACGTCGGATGATTGGAGGCGATGTGCATCACGTTCGGGGTGGCGCTATTCTGGAGGAAGCTAGGAGCTTGGCATCTTCTTTCAACATTGTTTCTTATTGTTTTGTTTCCCGTCAACTCAATAGGGCTGCCCATCATGTGGCACAAAAGGCCCTCTCATCAGGAGTTCGACTATGAAAAAGTGAAAGTAAAAATTACAATACAAATAAGTATGATTTATTGAAAGTTATTAAAAGGGTAATGACTATTTATTAGCCAAACCTTTTTCAGATTCTTTTATATTATCCAAACTTATTAAAATGCTATTAATTAGCCAAATCTTTTGTAATGCATCAAAATATTATCCATTTTTACGTTATCCTTGATAATTTTGTAACTCTTGTCTTAGTTAAAATGCTAAAATTCTGGAATATTGAACT